TTATATAATTAAAATAGTAACCAATATTACTCCACTTAGGAATCTATTCCAATTCAAATAGAAATAAAATACTACAGATTCAGTTAGAGTCTTTTTTTCTTTTTTTTAACTGATTAAGTTAGGTTGGAATGATGACTAGAACATTACCCAGACTCTGCTTGACACGTTAGAAATCAAACACAAGTGGTATGATTCTCTAACCACAAGGATGAAAGCAAGTTACGCTACTTCCGATTTAGTTTTAATTCAAATCTTATCTTATCTTACTATCTTCATATATTATAAAAATTGTTAAATCTTTTAATAAATCTCAAATAAATACTGAATGAATCATTTAAAATTCTCAATAAAATTTTTAATGAATCTTCAATAAATATTAAAAAAAAAAACTCAATTGACCTTTTAAAATTTCAATAAATACTAAATAAATACTCAATGAATCTTTAAAATTTTCAATGAATTTTAAATAAATACCCAATAGACTTTTTAAAATCCGAACTCAATTATATTTTTAATAATAATATTTCATTAAGATGTAAATAATTTTAGATAAACATATTTCTTAGTAATGATTATTAAAATATCAAAAATTATGAATGGTTATAAATTGCAATGTACAATTGATGTGAATGTAAAATAATACATACAAGTAAGAACATCTATTAGAAAAAACCTAAAAATAAAGAGAGGGACTCTATAAGAAACTTAAAATATTTTGGTATTCTCTTTATCAAAAGTCTAAATTATATATCAAAAAATTATAAAATTAGTAAAATAAGAATCCTTAGAGGTTTTCAATATATTCATTAAAACAAAATTAAACGATTCTAATATACACACAATGAGGGAGGAGAGAGAGAGACATTGGAGTAAAAAAAGTATACAATAATAAATTGAGATATAAGAAGTGACTAAGAAACAATAATATTGAGAGAATAAAGATAACAAAAGTTTATTAATAGCAAACAAATTATTAATGATAAAATGAGGGCGACTGTAGAGTAGACAAATAAATATAGGGCCTGTTTGGTACAGCGGTTAAAATTTAGCGGATAGCGGGTAGCGGATAGCGGGTAGCGGGTAGCGGATAGCGAATAGCTGTAGCGGGTAGCGGGT